ACATCTGAAGATACATGGAGATTTTGTCCTTATAAGTGGCGATACAGTGAGCAACATGTCCCTTACACAGGCACTTCAAGAACATACGGAAAGAAGGAAAAAAGATACTAACGCTGTAATGACCATGGTCATAAAACAGTCAAAGCCTTCTCCATTGACTCACCAAACTCGACTTGGTAATGATGAGTTGTATATGGCAATTGATCCTGATACAAAACAGCTTCTATATTATGAAGATAAGGCCGATCATTTGAAGGGCTTCATTTCTCTTGATAAAACATTGCTAGCAGATAAACCCAGTGTTTTTCTGCACAATGACAAGCAGGTTGTTAATTCCTGTTTTGCTGGTTTCATATTGCATAAAGTTTCTATTACTAATGCTTACCATTGTTATGTTTGTAACCATTATACAATGAAATATCTGTGTTGTTTTGATTTTTAAGGATTATATATTGTTTCCTCTTTCATGCACTATGGTGGTCCTTTTATACTTAAAGTAGTGACTGCAAATGCATATTGGAAAAAGCAAAGGTAAGACAGTTTATGCATGCCTAGGTCTTAAGCTCTTAATTTGTTTTGTCAAAAATGTTATTTCTTCTCATTCCTTAATAGATTGTTTCTTTGAATAGTAAGGTGATGTATATGGTATTATATTACTTCAAAATTTAGTAGTCCATACAAAAGAATCTTGATTCGACTGCTGGTTGTCACACAGAGTGGCTTTGCAACAGCATTGGCATCCAACATCTGCAATCCCCATTAGCCCACCACTTCACTCTTCCGTATATTGGACTTTATAAGTATAGACTGTATAGTTCCCGTACAGTGAGTGGCTAAACAGCCCTGTCTACATTGTTTACACTTTTGGACACACTAATATACAAAAGCTTCATCATCATCATCATCATCATGCGCATATCAAGATCCTTCCATATATTGGACTTTATAAGCTTCTTCCCTAACTCCTTTCTACCCACCCTTAACCACTGTGACTGAGCATTCCGTGCACATATCAAGATCCTTCCCCTTCTTTGTCTTCTCCACTACTGATCTCTGGTTCTTCCCAATCAATGCAACCCCCTCACTTCCTTCACTAAACCTTTCATTAATCCCTTCATATTCCTTCCCACTAGATGACTCTATGGTTACCCCACCAAATCTGAAAACTTTTTTGGCGGAACTACTCACCACCAACAAAATTTCAGATAAGTCAGATAAGAATTGACTGTTCAACTAGTCACTTATTTTCTGGTTGACAGTACATTCTGCAGGCCTACAAAATCACCAATTGTTCTCTTTTTTTCTAAGTTTTTCCTTTGAGATTTATTGAGTTTCTTCTTGTAAGCATTTGCATCACATGCAACACAATTTTGCAACTTCTTCAAGAATAAGAAAAGAAGGAAATAAAATATTCTGCAAGACTGCAATGTATGTTTATTGCTAATAACAAAATGCAAGTTTTTTTTTTTTAATTTATTTTTGAAACAGGTAAACTGTAGGTTTTCCTGTTTTGATTCGTGTAGGTAGGTTATCCTTTTTTGATTTCCTAACTAGCAACAGAAACCTGCCAGTAGCAAGAGAAGTCATTATTATAGAAGTTAAGTTTTCTCACAGGTTGCAATCTTGCAAAAACAGAATGCCTATATTGATCTGTGTGAAATTATGGTTTGTCCTGTTTCCTGTATGGGTTTGTTGAATGATAAATTGAAAATGAATTGAAGTTGTCTCCTAAGAAAATACATGAAAGATTTGAATATTGATCGTTTCTAGTGGTGACAAGAGCAAGTGAATTTATTAATAAAACATCAATAAAGAAGGTAAAAGGATAGTGAAGCATGAAAGAAAAAGGCTACCATAAATACAGCATTTCCTTAGGCCTATAAAAAGCACAAAAAACTCATCTTTCAGGGCTGAGCTCTGATACAATACACTACTTTGTACCCTAATTCTAGACAAACTGCCAAAGAGTTGGCTAGAGCATTGGCGTATCGCCTAACCCTATGGAATAAGATTTGATTACTTTAAAATGATCATACGTGTTATTTGTTTGTTGATTGCATTTGTATCTGCTAACTAGAACTCTGTTATTCTTTTAATTGATGATGTGGTGTTTGCAGGATTGCTACATTGATATCTGTTCTCCAGAAGTTCTTAKTCTTTTCACTGACAATTTTGACTATCAACATCTTCGGCGTCATTTTGTCAAAGGATTGCTTCTTGATGATGTAGGGTTTGTTTGTTACTCTTTTTTTCTTTTCTATTCTCCGATGCCTATTAATGAATAAACATGTCCACGTGAGCATACATTAACAATCTGCTAACAACTAAAGGTCATTTGACGCTCTCTCTCACCCTTTATATATGTATTTTTGTGTGCATATGTGTTATATGCCCATTTATTTATATTTATTGTTAATTTTAGGAGATTAGGTTGCATACAAGAAACCAAAACCTTTTTTTTTTAATCCAGACAAAAAAAGTCCTGGTGTGTCATTGTTTTCTTTTTCTTTTAATTGGTATCAGGTGTCTCACTGTTGGCACCCACTTCAAAAATCCAATATGAATATGAAAAAGGAGATATACACAATGAGGTCAAATGATCTTAAGTCTATGTCTTCTTCACCCAAATGTGCATATATAAGGTCTTTGATGAGCTCCTGTCCAGACTTAGGCAGATGGGTATGATGAAAGAATACCAGGTAGAGTTTGAGAAGACAACAACTTGCATCTCTAGTTGGTTTGAGAAAGCCCTAGTGGAGAGTTTTGTGGGGCTGTTAATGGAGGGGATCAGGTTGGAAGTTACGACTTGGAGGCCAAACACTGTCATGGTAGCAACTGGCTTAGCTAGGCTGCAGGAGGAAAAGTTGAACCAGTCTAAGAAGTTCATTTGGCCAGCTAGACCAATACTTAAAAGCTCTGGTTAGAGACCAGCCCAATCYGGTCCAACTGACCCAAAAGGAGCAGTCCAGCTCACTATACCCTTTAAGCGCCTAAAGTGTTTCACAGACTTAAGGAAGGGCTAGTCAAGGACAGTCCTAGTGGCAGATTCAAGAGGATTTACAATAGGAAAAGATTGAAATTCAAGGTTAAAGGGCAATCCTCACCGAAAGACAGAAATAAGGTAATGGCTCTGAATTTAGATCCGACTAACATGACKTCAGATTCTTTTCCACCCAATCAAATAGATGTGGAGTCCTCAAAGGAAAAGAAGGAAAGAATTGGGCTAGAGATTACAGAAGAGGAGGGTGAAGAGATTGTAGCTG